GACTTGATGAGTGAGACTGCATGGACATGATCTACACACCAAAGGCCCTTCATTAAACTAAAGTTGTTTTGGTGCCAAGAGTGTCCCTTAAAGCAACTCTCTCCATCAAAGATATTTTATCAGCTTAATTTTTTTGGTCAACAAATTAATTTTCCCTGGTCAACCCAGTAGAATAGTAAGTGAGGGAACCCAGTAGTGTACTTACCAAGGGTAGAGTGACCCTCCCTGAGGGACAGGTGGTAGAGGTGTGCCCTGCACAATCCCCACCTGCCACAGCAGGCTCATACATATCAGTGCTTGCTGTGGGGGTGCTTGCTTTGCAGGTGTCATTCATGGCTGAGGTGTGGGTCAGTAAGAAGGCTGCCTCGGTCACTGTACTGATTTCCCAGCTCCCTCATGCACCCTGTACTGATGCTGGAGCCAGGATGTGAAATCCCCTGAGCCCTGGCATAAGTACAGAGTAGTCTCCATAGCAATCTAGTGGACCCCTCAAAGTTCAACTTCAGCTCTCTTGTTCTCAATAAAAAAAATGGAGGCTAGGTGGACCTCATAGTGACCCACCACTCCCCCAACCCCAAAAAAATCCACAACATTAAAATCAAGTGTGTGTATGAATGATTGTGTTCATTTATAGCAGTCTGTGTGTATGAGCCTGTGTGTGGGTTATTCTTTGTGTGTGTATAAGAATGTGTGTTTGTGTACAAGTCTTTGTGTGTATATGTGTCCGTATGTTTACTTATGGGTCTGTGCATATGTATATTAATGTGTGTGCCTCTGTCTGTGTGTGTATACGAATGTATGTGTGTATATTAATGTTAATATGTGTGAATATGAATATGTATGTATATGAATGTCTACGTCTGTATGAATGTGAGAATGTGTGTGTGATTTCCCTAGTTAAAATTAGTGGTGCACAGTGAGACACAAAGAAAATGTTACAGTTTGGGAAGTGCCAAAACACATTTCCTCCCTGGGTGACATGTAATTTGGGTATGGCTCTGTATCTCCAAACAATTCCCGGATTAGTTAATAACCTTGGTAATGAGTTACCTACTAAATGTTAAAGAATTCCTACTAAATGTAGTACATTCTTTGAATATATTTTGCTGGTTTCTTTTTTGTAAGTTTGTTTGCAGTTCTGAACTCTCTTCCATATGTATTTCTATGGTTCTACAGATAAATCTCTGTAAGTAAGTAATTGCGTGGGTGATACTGAACTCCCTGTACCTTACTTTTTCCAGTCACAACTAGGCATAGGCAGACAATGTTTAAAGTACAACTTAATTAGATCTTTAAGGAATAAATGTATCCTCCTACCTGTTCAGTGCAATCAAAACACTCTAAACTACCCCTTGGATATCTACACTCCCAGAAAAAATAGCTATTGTTAAAGACAAAAGTCAGAATTGTTCCTTAAGAATTGACAAAAACAATTCTAGTCTGACATTTCCCAATCAAAAACACATGAAAATGTTTTCACTTTGAATTCTGATAGAGTAGACCTGTCATCCTTACTGGAAGGAAAGCTCTGTCCCTCTGCATTTTTTCTCATCAACGCCTCTTTCGATTTCCATCTCACTTTAGTTTGTCCTTTATCTTCCAAATGTAATCAGTCGGTGCAATTTGTCATTCGTGCTGATTAGCTCTTTTAAAACTTTCAATGTGGTTTGTTTTAAATCACTGAAAGAAAATGATGGTGCAATAATTCCTGCATTGGATCTAAATACGCTGATCAACTGATGTTCACTAGGACAGTGTCCAATCCCACAATGTACCAAGTAAATGAAAATAAAGTTGCAATCTACACATTCTTTTTACGTAGCATCTAGCCAAATTGTTGTTTTTTTGTTTTAACAATTTAAAGTTTATTGTGTCAGATGATTTAAAATGTATTTCCAGCCTCGGAACAGCACTATAAATATAACAATGCATTCATGTGTTAATTATTAAGAAAACGTGTGATTTTTCTGGAGAATACCATAAGATCTGTCATAGGTGATTACCTTCATGGAGAAAATCTGACATGAGCCTGTCAGTTTACCGGCCTTTTTTTGCCCGATTTATTGTCAGTGAGGTTAATTAGCCTTCACATGTATATATTCATACAGCATATTAACAATTAATTTAAAAACAGTTATAATGGCACCTAAGGCAGCATGCTCTATACCTTCCCCAGTTCATTAAAGGGACTCTCCAGTGCCAGGAAAACAAAATAGTTTTCCTGGCACTGCAGGTCCCCTCTCCCTCCCACCTCCCACCTCCCATCCCAGGTTGCTGAGGGGGCTAAAACCCCTTCAGTGACTTACCTGTATTAGGCTCTGCCAACTCTCCTCCCCCGGCAACGGCCGCACGCATGCATTACACCGCCCCATAGGAAAGCATTATTCAGTGCTTTCCTATGGGGATTCTGGCGACGCTGGAGGTCCTCATGCATTGCACTAAAAGTGTTTTAAGAACCCGGAAGCTCCTCTAGTGGCTGTCTGATAGACAGCCACTAGAGGAGGACTTAACCCTGTTAGGCAATTAGTGCAGTTTATGAAAAACTGCACTAATTACACTTGAAGGGTTAAGGATAGTGGGAGTTGGCACCCAGACCACTCCAATGGGCAGGAGTGGTCTGGGTGCCTGGAGTGTCCCTTTAAATTGTCAGGATGAATAAACTACATCCACAGTATACTGCAGGACTTTAGAACCTCAAGGTTGCATAAATCCCATTTCCACTTCCAAACTTGAAATCATGGAAGATTGCGTTGACCCATCTCATATTTAGAACAATTTAGCAGCTCAATACACTAAAATATCAAGTTAAAGTAAAAATTCAGTCGTGTGTGTCTATATCTCAATCTGACCATCTACACACCCAGCACTTACAGGGTTTTTGACTTTGAGGATTCACAGTAAATTCAAAGTGAATTTCATACTGAGGGTAAAAAAGAGCCAAACTCTTGGTTAGGGCACACTGCATGCTGGCAACAGACGTAACTGTTTCAGAGCCTGCAAAGAAGAACCTCTTGTCTCTCTTCCCTCCCACACATGACATCAGACGACTAGGGTACCCCAACCCGAGCAGAGAGCTTTGTTCAACGCTGAATAAGGTAAGTAAACTTTATTATAAAACACTCTTGGAGAAACCCTTTAAGAAAGTAATCATTATTATGTATTTGATATCAATATAGGTTGTTTGGGTGGAGTATTATGATTTCTGATATGGAAGCATTATGAGTTAGCATTGTTTTACGCTATACTGTGCACCTAATTCTTTAGTATGGCTTTATACATTATTATTTTGTCCTCTGTGTCTTATATCTAATCCTGTTGAATATTTCTCAGACCTAAGACATGAGATGTTTAAATAAAATACAACCAAAAACAGTAAAGTGAGCACTCAGATCCACCAAACAATATGTGAGTATTTACATACAGTGTTAAAGTATATACATATACAGGGAGTGCAGAATTATTAGGCAAGTTGTATTTTTGAGGATTAATTTTATTATTGAACAACAACCATGTTCTCAATGAACCCAAAAAACTCATTAATATCAAAGCTGAATATTTTTGGAAGTAGTTTTAGTTTGTTTTTAGTTATAGCTATGTTAGGGGGATATCTGTGTGTGCAGGTGACTATTACTGTGCATAATTATTAGGCAACTTAACAAAAAACAAATATATACCCATTTCAATTATTTATATTACCAGTGAAACCAATATAACATCTCAACATTCACAAATATACATTTCTGACATTCAAAAACAAAACAAAAACAAATCAGTGACCAATATAGCCACCTTTCTTTGCAAGGACACTCAAAAGCCTGCTATCCATGGATTCTGTCAGTGTTTTGATCTGTTCACCATCAACATTGCGTGCAGCAGCAACTACAGCCTCCCAGACACTGTTCAGAGAGGTGTACTGTTTTCCCTCCTTGTAAATCTCACATTTGATGATGGACCACAGGTTCTCAATGGGGTTCAGATCAGGTGAACAAGGAGGCCATTTCATTAGATTTTCTTCTTTTATACCCTTTCTTGCCAGCCACGCTGTGGAGTACTTGGACGCGTGTGATGGAGCATTGTCCTGCATGAAAATCATGTTTTTCTGGAAGGATGCAGACTTCTTCCTGTACCACTGCTTGAAGAAGGTGTCTTCCAGGAACTGGCAGTAGGACTGGGAGTTGAGCTTGACTCCATCCTCAACCCGAAAAGGCCCCACAAGCTCATCTTTGATGATACCAGCCCAAACCAGTACTCCACCTCCACCTTGCTGGCGTCTGAGTCAGACTGGAGCTCTCTGCCCTTTACTAATCCAGCCACGGGCCCATCCATCTGGCCCATCAAGACTCACTCTCATTTCATCAGTCCATAAAACCTTAGAAAATCAGTCTTGAGATATTTCTTGGCCCAGTCTTGACGTTTCAGCTTGTGTGTCTTGTTCAGTGGTGGTCGTCTTTCAGCCTTTCTTACCTTGGCCATATCTCTGAGTATTGCACACCTTGTGCTTTTGGGCACTCCAGTGATATTGCAGCTCTGAAATATGGCCAAACTGGTTGCAAGTGGCATCGTGGCAGCTGCACGCTTGACTTTTCTCAGTTCATGGGCAGTTATTTTGCGCCTTGGTTTTTCCACACGCTTCTTGCGACCCTGTTGACTATTTTGAATGAAACGCTTGATTGTTCGATGATCACGCTTCAGAAGCTTTGCAATTTTAAGAGTGCTGCATCCCTCTGCAAGATATCTCACTATTTTTGACTTTTCTGAGCCTGTCAAGTCCTTCTTTGACCCATTTTGCCAAAGGAAAGGAAGTTGCCTAATAATTATGCACACCTGATATAGGGTGTTGATGTCATTAGACCACACCCCTTCTCATTACAGAGATGCCCATCACCTAATATGCTTAATTGGTAGTAGGCTTTCGAGCCTATACAGCTTGGAGTAAGACAACATGCATAAAGAGGATGATGTGGTCAAAATACTCATTTGCCTAATAATTCTGCACTCCCTGTATATGTTAATTTAGTCTGTGCAAAAAAAACAATACATTGTTCTTGTTCTAAATTACATTTAAGTTTCAGAAATAGTTATAAGTCCCCTAATATTTCCCAGAACAGCCCAGTCCCTGGCCACACTCCCAATCACAACCCTAAAATGAAAGTGTCCCTCTTTGTCCATTTGAAAAGTTCAAGGTGTGATAGAATACTATGAATGAGCCTGACCACTAGGTGGGAACATGTATAACAAACGGACACTGTACAAGTACTTGGACATGCTGAGAGGAAGGATTGGCATGATCCTGTGATGTGCAGATAGACATGGAGCCCTCTTTGAATATAACATTTGCAAACAGCTTTGGTTGTTATTTGTTTGGAGTGTATTTTTAATATTTGCTTGCAGAGTTGCTGGTTCAACTATTAGGTATGTGCATGGGGAAAATATTTGGTTCGGCTCGGCATTCCGAAATTTGGGACTTCAGCAATTCGACACTTCGGAACTTCGGCAACTTCGGCACTTCGGAACTTCGGCACTTCAACACTTTGGAATTTCGGCAAAAAAGGTCCCCCCTCCCGAGCCACCACCCGCGATGCTCAGAGGTGGGGTCCAGGGGGGAGGACATTGGGTCCCACCCTCTTATTCTAATTTAGGGCCTCCACCCACCGCTCAGGGGTGGGGGCCAAGGGAGGAGGACATTAGGTCCCCCCCTTTTCTAATTTAGGGCCCCCACCCACTGCTCAGGGGTTGGGGCCAGGGGGAGGACATTAGTCCCCCTCCTTATTAGTATTTAGGGCCCCCACCCACTGCTTTAGGGGTGGGGGACAGGGGGGAGGACATTAGGTCCCCCCCTTATTAGTAGTTAGGGCCACCGCTCAGGCGTGGGGGCCAGGGGGGAGGGGCCAGGGGGAGGACATTAGGTCCCCCCTTATTCTAATTTAGGTCCCCCTCCCACCGCTCAGGGGTGGGGGCCAGGGGGGAGGACATTAGGTCCCCCCCTATTCTAATTTAGGGCCCCCACCCACCACTCAGGGGTGGGGGCCAGGGGGGAGGACATTAGGTCTCCCCCTTATTAGTATTTAGAGCCCCCACCCACTGCTCAGGGGTGGGGGCCAGGGGTAGGACATTAGGTCCCCCCCCTTATTAGTATTTAGGGCCCCCACCCACCGCTCAGGGGTGGGGACCAGCGGGGTGGACATTAGGTCCCCCCCTTTTTTTACTGTAGGGCTCCCACCCGCCATTCAGGTTAGAAGCCCCCACTCGTGCGGCACGGGTGGGGGGGACCCTTTTTTTTTTTTTAAAGTGAGCAGCCATAGGCAGTAGGCTGCTCACTGTTTAATAGACATGCCCCTACTCGCGGTATAGCGAGTATGGGCATAATTTACTAATACTAAGTAATCTTTACTTAGTATTAGTAAATTTGGCTGAAAGACTAATTTAGGTCTTTCAGCCTTTTAGTAGATAACTCCCTCATACCGTGGGAATTAGGGAGTTATCTGCTTATTCATTCCTGTCATTAAATTGACTGGCTAAGTAATTTACATTTTATATGAATGTATGTTACTTGATTGTTGTAAGTGTTGCAGATCCTGGCTATGTTTGTATACTTTTTATTTAAAATTGTATACAGTGTAACATTCTTCATTCTTCCACTGGGTAAGTATATTAGTTCCTAGGCAATACTGTGCTTCGGAACTTCGGCACTTCGACACTTCGGAACTTCGGTAACTTCGGAACTTCGGTACTTCGACCATTCAACAATTCATCTATTCTGACATTCGGAAGTACCCAAATGTCCGAATTGTCCGAAATTCGTCCGAATTAACATTTGGACCGAAACGAATTGCACATGTCTACCAACTATGTTGATTCATAAACTCTACTTCTCTTGACTCAACAGTTCTGTTAAGTACCAATCTATTGCGGTTAGTGAATTTCACCTTGCAACCAATATTCCTCTTTGTAGATATAGTTTGCTCCTCTTATGACATTAAATAAGCATACAGTTTGTGTAAGTGGTAATTTGATCTTTTCATATAGATTGTTTGACCTGTTTAGAACCATGTGAATTGCTTTCTGTTGCTTCGAAAACTAATTACTATCAGAGTGCTACTTGCCAACCCTCCTTTATAGCTGAAACATATTCTGACTGACATTTAACCTAAAATTACTCACCTTTGTAGCTACACTGGTAACTTATACCCTTTTAATGTGGTAGTTTATAAACTGTCTTGTGTTTATGTGTGTTTAATATCTATTCATAGAAAAAGAGTAATTGGTTGCAATGACAAGTACTGAATTCACCAGATATACATATATTTTTCTGAATTCCCTGGTGGAAGGTTGGAATAAATCCTCATTATCTTCTTGCAAAGGTCAGAGAAATATGTTGGACTGCAAGGCTTAACACGTTTGTTTGTGATGCATTTCTTCTCCATCTGTGGCTGCTGGATGAAACATATTTTGGTAAACACTGACCTTCTCAACGCGTATAGTCTACACTTCTGCAATTTAAATGAAAGCACTGAAGATTTGAACATTTTTAGTTAAGTTTGAGGAGCGTTTAATGTCAGCTACTGTTGGTAAGGGAGGACTTGACCAAGACAAAAACATTAAAATGTCATTCTGTCTGATATTTTATTTTATTGCAATGGAACTCAAAATATTTGTTTTTTAAACGTGACAATAGTTGTTGGGAAATGTCTTTGCATGAGGGGCAGTGGCATAAATACAAGGGAATAGATAAATACCAGCAGTATTTTAATCTCTTACCCACACTGTTCTTACTAACATTTTTTCCAAGTGTGTTACTGCGCATGATCAAATTGTGCCCCAATGATCTCTGCAGCGGGACCCGGTCTCCCAATGGCAACAATAGCCTGTATTTAACTACGGTTTCACTAGCCTATTATAGCATGTAACAATGCAAGTTCCTAGCAAGCCATGTCTCAGACCCTAGCTCAATGATGTTAAACTCTGGACCACCTTGCCATGGTATAGAAAGCATGTTTGTATACGCTTGCGCTGCAACTACCGTATTTTTCGCTCCATAAGACGCACTTTTTTCCCCCTCAAAAGTGAGGGGAAATGTCTGTGCGTCTTATGGAGCGAATGTGAAGAATTACTTGCCTGTCTTGGAGCGTGGGCCGGCTTCACAGCGCGCTCCGCGGTCCAGGAACTTCTATTTCAGGTTCCGGTTTCCGGCGGGACTGAAAGGAAGTGTGCACACTTCCTTTCAGTCCCGCCGGAAACCGGAACCTGAAATAGAAGTTCCCGGACCGCGGAGCGCGCTGTGAAGCCGGCCCACGCTCCAAGACAGGTAAGTAATTATGGGACAAGGGGAGGGGGAGACACTATGGGACAAGGGGAGGGGAGAAGACACTATGGGACAAGGGGAGGGGGACACTATGGGAGAAAGGGAGGGGAGACACTATGGGACAAGGGGAGGGGGGGACACTATGGGACAAGGGGAGGGGGGACACTATGGGACAAGGGGAGGGGGAGGGAAAGTGCACTATGGGACAATGGGAGGGGGGACACTATGGGATCACTAATGGACAAGGGGAGGAGGGGAACACTATGGGATAGGACAAGGGACAAGGGGAGGAGGAGTTAAAGAACACTATGGGACAGGGTAGGAGGGGTTAACAATCACTATGGGACAGGGTAGGAGGGGTTAACAATAACTATGGGACAGGGTAGGAGGGGTTAACAATCACTATGGGACAGAGGAAAGGGGGGTTAAAGATCATTATGGGACAGGGGAGAAAAAAAAATATTCTGAACAAACTGTCCCATGTTTCTGGGTTTCCTCCTCTAAAAACTAGGTGCGTCTTATGGTGAGGTGCGTCTTATGGAGCGAAAAATACGGTATATATATATATATATATATATATATATATATATATATATATATATATATATATATATAATATTATATATCCCCAGCTGGTAACCATGGAGATCGCTGGAACGCATGTGGTAAGTGCAGGGAGTCTCGCTGGAATGCAGTGTCGGGAGCCAGCTGTGCAACAGTACACTAACCAGTGCCGGGTCAGATTTTCCCACGAATCAAGGACAGCTGCAGGCAGCAATCCTGAGACCAGGGGGGTAAGTACCCACATGGCTAGTGTTTAGTAATTATTGTATGACTATTTAAATGTATTTTGCACGCTTCTATGTTTGTCCTGAGGAAAGTTCAGAACTCTGAAGTGAAATGTCGACAGATCAGCAAACAACCTGAATAAAAGTTAAGTTTTATTATTTATCCAATTTATCCTATTCAAGTCCTTGGAGTGCTATAATTTCCTTATATTGTATATATTTTTGCAGACAAGCATCGGGCCCCCAACTGATGTTCTACTGGAGTACAGGCATATGGAATTGTATTTATATATATTAGCCGACCACAAAGTACACACTCTTTCATTTTTCTTTCGTTAGTATTAAATACAGACCGCTTATATTGACCTACGTTCGCCTGTTTCTTATATACGTTCATTAGCCGAAACAAGTACGAACGGCTGTTTTACTAGCTTTTAGTTTTTCCTAATCTATCACACGCCTGAGGTTTTATGCAGTTATTTGTGTAATTTTAAGTATGTTCCTCAAATTTGTTCCTTTTTAAAAACATATGTACACAGTTCTCCCTACGTTTTCCTTAAATCATGTCACTATTCATCACCCATAGTCACTTGTAATAATGCATAAATTCCCAGGGGCATTCTCTTAAAGACACAGTTGGCCCCCTTACGCTTTTTTGATGTCAATAGGTCAAGCCCATCAAACCGCTTAAATTTATCCAGCTCCACGCTCAATTTGTCCATTAGCTCTTATTTCTAAAATCTCTATTTATATTAAAAACACTATATTCTGGTTCCTTATTTTTAATAATGAACGTGTTTTAGGTTCTACTACTCTTCTTCAAGAAAACTCCAGGAGGTGGTTCCAGTATCCCGTCTCACGATATCAGGTAGAAAAAGGTTAACATTTTTACGTTTCTCCTGAGGCCTCATTCAGCCACCACT